CCCCCCGGAAAATGTGCAGAGCATACCTTTTCACCTCCATTTATTTGTTCATTTTTTTATTCAGCAGTTGCTGAGCATCTGTTAAGTTCCAGGCGCTGCTCTAGGTTCTGGGGATAAGACAGCTGCAGCCTCCCTTGGAGCTTATTGTCAGGGAGGCAGATACCCAACAGCGTGGAGCATGACGGTTGTGCTGTAGGGGTGCCCAGGCTCCAAGACCAGCAACTGAGCAGTGCCAAGGAGCGCCCAGGACAGCCTTGGGGACAGGCCCCTGGCCTGCCTCGCTCCCTTAGCTCTCCTCAGCCAGCCTCCGCCTAGTTCCCTGGAATTCCCCTGGGATGAGGGCATGGGATACTGCCGCGTACCGAGTCCGAGGCTGGGGTGCGCTGTGGAAGCCACCCTCGTCCTCCTTCCTCCCGCCGTGTCTCTGCCCTCTGCTGGCTCTGCACCCTGCCCTCTGCTCAGAGCCCGCCTTCCTGGAGCCCACCGCTGCATGGCAGAGGGCAGAGAGCAGCCACGTTGGTCTTGCGTTGGTATGAAATGCCTCACTGGGTCTGTCCACAAGGGACCAGTGCGGCCGTTCCGCTAGCTCCCAGCCCTGCAAAGCCAGGAAGAGCAGTCTGGCTTGGAGCCTGGAAGGAAAGGGCTGGAGTGTTTGGTGCCAGAGACGCCCAGGCCCGGAGTGCCCTGCTTCCCCTTTAACCTGGTCCCTAACCAAGTGCTGCTGCCTCCAAGAAGCCTTCCCAGACCACACGGGACACAGAGGCACCTGTGTCCCTGTTTCCACCAGGCTGGTGACGCACTTTGCTGGATTAAGGGGAGCAGGCCTGGGGAGCAGGCCTGTTTTAGGCTTGTGGAGATTGAAGTGCAGGGGCAGCTAGGTTCAGGATGAAGGCTAGGACTACAGGCAGGGCAAACATTGAGGCTGTTGGAACCATAATAGTAATAATAATAAACTCAATGGCAGATATGCCCGCTGAGCACTCTTCATAACAGGCTTTGAGGGAAGCACTGGTTTTGTTTTGTTTTGTTCTGTTTTAAAGGTTTTCAAAATTGATCTTTAGAGAGACAGGAAGGAAGAAGGAAAGAGAGAGCAAAACATCTATCCACTGCCTCCTGCACCCCCCCTGCTGTGGATAGAGCCTGTAAGCCCAGCATGTGCCCTGACTGGGAATCTACCATCAACCGGCATCCTTAGGGCGGTGCACAGGACTATGCCCAACCAACTGCGCCACATGGGCCGGGGCTCTGCTGCACACTCTGAATGTGTTCTCTCACTTAATGCTCATAACAACCTATGACACTTGGCTGTTCTCTTGGACACCCAGGTCACACAGTTGATAAATGCTCTCTTCCTCACTAGATTGTAAGTTCCTAAGGGAAGGGTCTCTGACTTTCCTCTGAATCCTGGTGCCTGGGACTCATTCATTCAACTCATTGCACACCTACTGTGTGCTAGGCATAGTAGTTGTTGGTCATTGGTGTTGGAGGAAGTATATCTCTGGATTTAAAGGAGAGTTCAGATTCAGCATAATTTCTATATCGAGGACTATGCCTGCTGTGGGAGCACCGGAGGGCACAGCTGCACACAGTGGTGACATTCCCAACGGGCCTTCAAGATTACTGAGGAGTCTGCCAACGGAAAGGGCAGAGACCATTCCAGTGTATGCAGAGCACACTTTAAAGGACCGGGAGAAGCCCAGCCTGGCTGATAGAACTTGGAGTTGGTGCAGGGGAGGGTGTGAGGCAAGGCCACAGGGACCTGCTGGCACGAGCCTGCAAATAGCCTTGGCCAGGCCAAGAAGGCAGCAGGTTCCCAGGGAGGGAACCAGCAGAGACGCTTGTGAGCTGAGNTCTTTGTACTTTTCCTCCTCTTCTGTTTCTCAGTCTCAACTGGTATCACCTGCTCAGGCCCCTCTGTCAGACTCACATGGTTGAGGAGTGGGCATGGGGGAATGGGCACCTGAGCGCAAGGGACATAATTAGGCCACACATCTATGAACCAGGTGCCAGTGGCTTGGGTGGTGGCAAGACCACCACTTCAGGTTACCATTCCTTTAACATTTCTAACAGAATAGCTCAGGATCTATCCAGGTGTAGTGTGAAACTCAATTATCTACAAGAAATGCTGCAGGAGAGTAGGACAAAGACATCCCTCTGAGGAAGATGCAGGGAGGCCGCACACAGTGGTGACATTCCCAACGGGCCTTCAAGATTACTGAGGAGTCTGCCAACGGAAAGGGCAGAGACCATTCCAGTGTATGCAGAGCACACTTTAAAGGACCGGGAGAAGCCCAGCCTGGCTGATAGAACTTGGAGTTGGTGCAGGGGAGGGTGTGAGGCAAGGCCACAGGGACCTGCTGGCACGAGCCTGCAAATAGCCTTGGCCAGGCCAAGAAGGCAGCAGGTTCCCAGGGAGGGAACCAGCAGAGACGCTTGTGAGCTGAGGCAGCAGGACTGGATGTGCTTTAGGAAGCTCACCCTTCGGTATTAGGGAAGATGCATTAAGGGCAGAATGTGGGGCAGGGGCACATTAAGAGTCTGGAACAATGACCCCGGATTGATGACGTGGGCCTGAGGTGACGGGTGGGGGAGGAGCCTACTGCCAGCCATCACCATCAGAGTCCAGTGACTGCATGTATGTCTTTACGAGGGACCATATATCCTTCCTTTATGTCCCAGGCTCGCTGTCCAGGATGTCAGTGTAGTGCCTGGGCAGTGTCTGCCACTAGATGAGATGGCCTGGGCCCTGTGCTTTCCTTGGACAGTGCCCTGCTCCTCCCCAAACAGTCCCCTCCTTCCTGCCACCCCTGACTCCAGATGCTAAATACTTCCTTCCATTTTTTAACATTAGAGTTGAATAGGTAAATGCACTCATAGTTCAAAATCAAACACAGAAGATTGGGAATTATGCCCGCTCACGATAGGTGACCACTTTTACTGATCTCATGTGTCCTTCTAGTGTTTCTCTAGGGGAACGGAAACAAGCAGACACTCCTCCTCCCCTTTTCTCAGCAGGAGGCAATGCAGTCCTTGTTTTCCCGGTAACGTCTTAGAGATCTTTCTGTGTCAAATATATCCACGTCTAGATGTTTATGTCTGGATATATTTTATAGATTTGTTTCTGAGTCTGTGCATCAGATATTTCTACACCGTTCTACGTAGCGGCTGCCTCGTAGCTCATCGCGTGCTGCGCTGCAGTTTATCCACCAGTTTCCGCTTGATGGACACCTGGCTTGTTTCTAATCTCTTGTGACTACAAATAGTGCTGCAGTGAATGATTGTAAATTTGTTATTTTGCACACATGTAAGATATGTTTTCCCAAGTGTGATCATTGGCTCAGAGGACCAACAGCTTTCTAGTTTTGGTAGATATGGTCAATCTCCCATAAAGTCTTCTAGTTTATACCCCACTTGCCATTTATTAGACTCCCGTTTTCTCCACAGACTTGACAAAAGCTTGCTGTGTTTTTTGTATATTTTGACATTCTGATGGGTGAGAAGCGGTGTCTCAGTGGAGTTCTAATTTGCGTTCTCTGCCATTGCGAGTGAGCCTGAGCGTGGATGTTGGGGTCTGTGTAGGAATCCTGGGAGTCACCCCATTTCCCAGAGGGAGGGGCTCCACATCAGCATCCTCAGCCTGGCCCTGTTTCCTTTGCAGATAAGCATGAGACAAAACTGAAGGGGGTGATCTACTTCCAGGCCATCGAGGAGGTATACTATGACCACCTGCGCAGCGCGGCCAAGGTGAGGGCACAGCCGGGCAGCCGTGGGGGTGCGCGGGCTCCCGAGCAAGGCCGCCAGCCTGCCTCTGCAGAGTCTTGGACCCATCCCTTGCTCTCTGTAAACTTTCTCTTCCTGTCTCCTTCTCCCCTTCCCAGAAGAGGTTTTTCAGCTTCACTATGGTGACCGAGGTACCCCTCCCTATATACAGTAACCAGAACTACTGTGCACATTAACGCCTCCATACCCCACTCGCCTCTGACCTTTACTGTCCCCTAAGCGCCCTTCCCCTCCCCAGGCCTGAGGGAGGAGTGCAGGTGGGTTGCAGAGAGCAGGAAGCTTGCATGCCCCCTTCTCCTGAGATGACAGCAGGTGTCTCCCTGTGGCAGTGGGCAATGCAGAGGGGATGGCTGAAAGGGGAGTGGGACCTTGGAGACTGGTTTGGTAGAGAGGTTGATAAATGGATGTCTGAGGCTGGTTGTAGGCTCAGTGCATTTTAAGTTGGCCTCCTTCCTGCCTCAGCTCAGGTGCCTCCTCCTTGATCTCTGCTCCTCTGGGGTCCTGGTACCCAGCATCCCCTGGTAGCTTTTCCATCTTTTGTGCCTCGGGTATGAAGGAACAGGGCCCCTACCTGGAAGAATACGACCCCGAGGGCTGCAGGGGTGAGGAGGGGGCATCTCAGCCCAGGGCCCACATGACTAGTGGGGACTAGGTTTTGGCCCTATTTAGGCTCGGCCCCGAGCTCCAGGTCATCAGGACACAGGGAGGGTGTCCAGATGGGAGGCAGGTGGGAGAAGGAGGATGTCAGGGGTGAGCTGTCCTAGCCTCTCTTTCCCTCTGCAGAGCCCAAACCCTGCCCTCACCTTCTGTGTGAAGACCCATGACCGGCTGTACTACATGGTGGCCCCATCTGCAGAGGCCATGCGCATCTGGATGGATGTCATTGTCACCGGAGCTGAGGGTTACACTCAGTTCATGAACTGACTGTCGTGAGCCTCCTGGACTCTCAGGCTGGCCCCAGTACCCATGCCTGGCCACCTGCTGCTCTGCTTGCCTGCGGGAGAGTCGTGCCCGGGCCCCAGGCCCCATGGTGGCACTTCCAGAGGCCCTGAGAGGGCAGAGCATGACTGGACTTTGTAATGTTGTGTAAGGAGCTCATTCTGGGAGTTTCTGAGTTCAGGCCTCCTAAAGAGCCAGCCAGAAGATCAAAGGTGGGGCCTGAGCTTTGCAGCCTCTTGGGAGTCCAGACCTCGCAACAGCCCTTCAGGGTTCTGTTCTCCTTTTCCAGGGACAATTATGGTACCAGAATCTGCCAAAGATCCCCTCTTGCCTCAGCCTCCTTTGCAGGGGCCTTGGGGGCTGAGCAGAGCCACACCCAGAGTGGGGTGACCACTCAGGCAGCGAACTTCTCAAACCCTGCTCTCCCCATTGCTCTCCCACCTTTATATTTTTTATTACTTTGCTCAAGGGCCAGAGACCTCAAGTTTTATCCTTGAGGTCTCAGTCATGTCCCATTTTTGCAGACCCGTCACCATAGTAACTGCTTAATTGCCATGGTTACATACTAATTGCCCCAGCTCTGGGGCTCAGCCTACTGCTTAAGCTGTGGGCCCAGCTGAGGGTAGGTGCCATCATCTCTCCAGCCCAGGCCCTTGGGCATCTCATGCTGGGGAAAAGGGACTGAACATCTCCCTCCCCCGGCCGGTGTCTCCAGGCCCTGACACACCGCCTGCTGGCCCCCCGCCAGCCCTCTCCCTTCCACTCGTGCCTTGCTTAGAGCCAGAAGGGATGAAGCCAGGGTATCTAGATCCCAAGGAGGAGCTGTGTGGATGGTTGAGAAGCTAGAAGGGCCTTCCTTGGGTTCTGTACAGGGCTGAGCTTCTGACGGGACAGAGGGCTGCTCCCTGAGAAAACCTGAGCCACAGAGGAGCACAAAGTAGGGAGGGCCCTGAAGTCCAGCTGCCCTCCAGCCTCTGAAGGGTGATGGAAATGAAGAGCAGAGGACAAGGCCTCCAGCAGCCTGGCCGCAGTCCTTCGCGCCTTAACACTAAGCCCACCTCCCTGCCCCTCTCCAGCACTGGGCCTTGGGTGCGGGGTCCAGGCTGGGTGGCTTTCAGTATTTGTAAGCATCTCAGCAGAACAATAAAGCATTTGGAGTGTGATTCTGGAAGGCCAAGTTGTGTGGGGCACTGGGCTGAGGTACACGGGGTAGGAGGGTTAGGTTTTCCCCACAGAGTAGGATTTCCACCTTATTAAAAGTTCCAGGAGGGACCCAGGGCCCAACCCATGACCTCCAGGTCACTAACCTGCCCTCCTCCAGGACGACTGAGGACTGGCAGGAGGCACAGAAGGGCATGAGGTCTCCAG